TGTGATGGATCAATTGGCTGAGAGATATGAAGAGAGAGTTGCGCTGTTGAAAGAGCAACGTAGGATTCAATTGGAATATGCAGAGAAGCAGAGGCAGTTTGGAGAGGATTACACTAGAGGGGTCTATGAGGTATGTCATTCTTTAGTTGTTATGATTATAAACCTTTTTAACGCGTGTATAGACACGAGTAGAATTGATTCAGGAGAAGTATGATTTAATGATCAAAAGAAGACTTATTGAAGAATATCAACAAATGGAAATTCGATCGGGTGCAGATAGTCCTTCTCAGCATAATGTAAGTCAAGGAGACATATTGTATACCAACGCCCATTAACGTTTGCCAGTTTAATCATTCACATATCAAAAGAATTCCTGAAAACACTTTTGTTCATCCTGCTGATGCGTGGGTCAATGGTGGTCGTGCTGCACAGCTTGCTGCTGAAGCGGAGAAAGAGAAAGGAAAAAAGCGGGGCGGCCGTGGAAAGAAATCCACAAAGTTACCTGCATCCCCATTCAAACCTTTGGATGTCATGATGCCGGATGACGGTGAAGTTGCGCCCAAGAAAACGGCTTTGTATCAACCCGCGACTTCATTATCTCTTGCCACTACTGTGGATGGAGATTCTGCAGCTCCCACCCCAGCCGAGTTGACCGAACAAGAAGATGCAGATGAGCTCGAAACTGATAAGTTTGGAGTTTACATACCTAATAAAGCAAGGCCTAGGAATGGCGATCCACCAAATAATCGCATCGTGGTCGAACCTCCATTTACTTTCGATCCAGATGAAATAGGTATCCGTCATCACTATTACAAAAAGTACAACAAGAATGATCTTCCTACGTTTATTGGAATGGATCCTTCTCCGCAACCAAAGACTTTTCATTATGATCCGTGGGTGAGAAATCATCATTCTACGAACAATCGACCAGAAGACTTGGATCAGACAATAGTCGAGACTCATAAATTACACCCGACTTTGGGTTTACCTGTGAAGGGATCTATAAATCCAACACTTACCACAAGGAGTGATTGGAGTAAGCCTGTAGCAGAGACCAAACCTGTTGTCTTCGTCGTCGAAACTCAAGATGAAGAATCACTCAAGCCAAGATTTGAGACTTCCCGATCCGCATGGATGGCACATACCGAAAGGGAATTTGCTGATCTTGGCGACCAGCTCAAGATGGCTGAATCATTAGAAGCGATTGGACTTCGTGATCCTATCCTTCGTCCGATCGAGCAAAAGGTCGAACCTCAAATCATTGGCAAGATTAGCGACGATTTGATGGAAGCTGTATCGGAGGCGGTAAATGTCTTAAATAAGCCTGTTCCTCCAACAGCATCCTCAATTAGAGCAACGTCAACAGCTCCTCCAACTTCGATACCTGGAACACCTGCGCCTGCACAAAGAACGCAAGGTTATGATCCAGTTCGTGATACTGGATATTCTCCTCATTTACGTCGGTCTCCAGTCAGAACTTATAACAACAAAACTTTAGATATCCTCGCCAATGCAGCCGAATTTCATGGGGCGTCTCTACCTCGTGGGGGATTACCGCAACCAATGATTCCAGCTCCAAGGCCAATGCAACAAATCCAATACACTTTTTCCCAACCGGAATTTTATAGACAACCTCCAGCATTTGTACCTCCACCACCACATATGACTCTTCCACCACCTTTACCTATGACTCTTCCCCCTCCTCAACCACTTCAGCAACAAACGCAATTCTTTCAATATGCTGGTCCTCCTCAAGCTCAAGGTGGTCCACATAATAAATATAAAGAGATTCTTCCTGCACCACCACAACCACAAAGACGTGTGCCGCCTCCTTCATTACCTGTGCCGCGAAGTAATGGATTTAATCCATTTGTAAATGGGACAGGGTATGGAAATAGTTCGGGAAGGGGACCTTGATATGATGAAATGCCGAAAAGCTTGTCCAAAAGAGAATAATTTGCGTGATCTTGGATATACAGTTTTGAGTTCTCACTCATATCACGCGCTTCCATTTCACTTCATTTGAAAATCCATGAGCGTTTTGTACAGTGGTGCATTTTTTCATTATAATTTTTTCATCCTCTGTATCAAAAAGTCAAACAATTTCATCGTTTTTTTGCTTCCAAATTGAAATAGGTGTAAAGTTCGGATTTGAGAGTCCTGTTAATAGTTATATATTTTTCATGAGTTTATCTCGAGAGTTAAGAAATCGGAATCCATCGGATTGGTCGGTAATGAAATAATTTTGAATTTTAGGGAATGGGGTGTAGTGCAGTTATAAAAGCAATTTGGGCGGGGGTTTGAGTCTTTTGGAATGGGGGAGTTTTTGATGAGGAGATAGGGGGTGGAAGAAGTGGTGGGGAGGATGGATATGGGAACTGAGGGATTTGGTGTTTCTATTACAGTAGAAGTAGGTAGAGTAGAAAATGGAAGCTTTTTGTTTTTCTTTTTCTTTCTTGGAAATTTTAGATTTTGAGATTTTGAAAAGGAGGAGAGAGGGAGGGATTTATATAGGATTTGTTGATGGGAATGTGAATGTGAATGTGAATATGGATGTGCATGTTTTTATGTGTGAAGGTGGAAGTTGATTGGAGATAGGAGATGGGAAAGGAAGATGAGAAATGGGAGTTTGGAGATTGGATTCTGAGAGCTTGGTTTGGGGGGGGTGTGCTTGAGGGGGATGGGGGGAGGGGATTAGGGGGGGGCGGGGGAGCGAGGTACTAGGAATTCGGCTTATGGAATTATGAGATGTGTTATTCTGTATAGCATAGGAACTGTGCAAAGGGAGGGGAACTTCCCCCCACCCCCCCCCTTTTTTCTTTGGGTAATGGGTTGGTTGGTTGGTTGGTTGGTTGGTTTATCTTGAATTCAATTAGATTTTGAATTTCTATTTTCGTTTCGCTTCACGTTGATTGAGATTGAGATTGAGATGGATATCGATATCGATATCTATTCGCATAAACAGAGTAGAATGGATGGGATGGGATGGAGAAAACACTATACGTGATGAATACGTGGAATTTGATGAGTGGATTATTATCATATTCTATATCATGATGATATCGAGTAGGCGATTCGGACTGGCAGGATTGATGTGCGCTGATTTGATTTTATGTCATGGGGATCTGGATTTGGATTTGGATTTGGGGGTTGAGGGGTTGAGGGGCTGAGGGGTTGAGGGGAGGATGTAAGGGTTGCTATGTGAGTATTATATTGTAGTAAATATTGGGGGTGGAGATGTAATGGTTGATATTGTGGGAAGGGTTTTTTAATGGTGGGAGAGATGGGATGAGATGTGATGAGATGAGATGAGATTTGTTGGTCTTGTGGTTATGATTGTGGGGATGTTGGGGATGTTTGGTGTAGATGTGTTGATAAATGATTTTCAAGTATATTGGTTGGTGGGTGTTGAATTTTCTTTTTGAATTTTCTTGCTTTCTTTCTTGCTTTCTTTGCTTTGCTTTCTTTGCCTTTCTTCAACTCGTACTAGGTATCATGATTTAATACCCTTTTTTCGATTCTCTCGTTTATTAGGGTCAAAGTGATATGATCTCATTCCAGAATAGTTAAGTGAAGATATATTGGAATACTCTATATTTTTATTCATCAAAACATCTTATCAAAATAATCATCTAGACTTCATTTTAACTGTTGGCAAGTAGATAAATGGTCTGATAATATTGAATCCTCTACTACAGTATGGAATCCATACATATCAGGGGTTGAATGGATGTAAAGATGTTAGTTATTAGAGACATCTGCATGCATGTGTTTTTGAATTGTTTATTTTGTTTTTACATATGACTTCCTGGATATGAAAATTCCCCTCCATAAGATTCAGATATGCGACTAAGCTAGGAAATTGATCTTAACATCTAATTTCTGATCCCCGAATAGCAGCGTAGGAGCTTTACTTACAAAATGATGTTCATACTACAAAACTGACCAGAAGGTCGTTGATTCCTTTGCTGCATGAAGCTAGCGCTTCTGGGAGTTGCGCATGCGAACGCACTCTGGGGCTTTGATTAATGTCATTGGATTTTGACCAGTACTGAAGTCTGAGGCGGGAAATCCAAGTGAGGAATCGGAAGGATTGAAGGGACTTGTGGGAACCTTGGGATATTACAACATGATGTTTCGAGATGTCAAGATGCCAGATTGTAAAGTGGGCTAGGGAGGATCATAAATGGATATCTGATTCTGATGTGTCGACTGCTTGGGAGAGGTGTGAACTGGGAAAGACTTTTCTTCCGTGGGATGTACACCTTTTGTTCCGGGAATTGTTTAATGAGAGTTGAGCATGTGGTGAAGATTGAAAGGCAAGAATGGATAGGATTATGGAAATTGTTACCATTCGTGGAGACTCTGGATTTGATAGAGTTTCAAGAGTGTGCAGATTTCATGAATAATTACTCAATTTCATTTGGGTACGGACAATGAATTTGGAACAAATGATTGACAGAAGTAACTTGAATATCTTCCCTCTTTTCAAAAATTTGCGAAAGCTAGGGTGTAGTGATATAATGCCCCGAAATTATTGTCTATAGGAATATAAGTCGAGAAAGAGATAGAGCGAAGTATTGTACCTACCTAGTTAATCTATGATCAGGAAAGAGTAAACAGCGTTAGCTCTATGAGGAATAGATTGTTTTCCGTGAATAAATACCTGACTCTCCAACGTATCCAAAAGGAAATGAAATCTTTGGCGATTAACTGTTTTGCATTTATACATCTGAATGTTCACTTACTATCAATTCAATCCTTATTGCTTTGTACGCAGAGTATTGCCAGAACGAATACATTAAAAAAGAAAGCCCCTTGTTCGTTATAGCATCTGTAATCATGGTAAATAGTCTCTTGTCAAACAACCTACGAGATCTTCTGCTAACTTTCCTGTAAAGGCTGTGCAGAATATCGACTATGGACAACATCTTCATTATCAAAATTATTTATCGAACCCCCATCGCCATAATCACGGAGCGTCCTGCGCTTGGGAAACAATGGAGAGTTATCAAAGGAAATGGGCATTTCCCGCCGTTCGGATTCTCTATGAAGTCCCAGAAATGTCGCCTGCGGGTGATCATTGTAATGACGGAACGATAACTTGGGAGACCTGCTCACAATTAAACGCCGAGACTCCCATGAGGGTTGGACCAGAACATGCTCAACATACGGGATATTGCATCACTAGAATAGTAAGCCGCTGTAGAAGTTGGAGGCCTCAACAATGGGACCCATTTGTTTGTTGTTATCACATTCTGACACGGGTGGAGACACAACTGAGGAAGGGCTATTGTCTTGGAGAGAACTGTCCGGGACTTGAGGGAGCAAAAAGTATCCCCGTCGTTGAGTACGATCCTGCGGCTTACTATTCAGGCGATAGGTTACAATACGAAAGGGAAAAGCTTGATTTGTTGAAAGCCGAGGAGGAAACTGGAAAGGATGTGAGGTTTCAATGGAAAAATGCGGATGGACCAGGCTATGAGACTTTTGAAGAGGAAAACTCACGATACATGTTTGGATTTCAAGGACGTAACAGAGTCCCCAAGCCGGTTATGAGCTACATACCGAATGACAGTTGGTGGCGGCCGCATTAGCAAACTGGATCCAAACAAAATTAGAAAATATGGACATGGTCAATTATTTTTACTCTTGTAGGTGGGGTGATTGCACGAAGATGAGCAGGTGGTTGAAGGGCATCATTTCGAGTTTGATGAAAAGACGAGAAATGCAAGTGGTATACTTGTGTGAATTCGCAAGAATAGGAATAAAAGGGATGTTTTTTGAGCTTTGATACATTGAATTGAGCGCGCATGAGGATATTGCGCTTGACTGCCTCTAAGATAATTGAATAGCTCTCCCAGAGATGGGTGGACTTTCATATACTTTCTAGTAGTTGCAAAACTTTTGGCTTCTACTTTTCTCACCAAAGTCGTAATGATGAATGAAAGACCAGATTTTGATTACTGGATACTGGTATTGTGCTCCCCTTGAGACTTCATGGTATGATCGCCTTCAATTGGAATTGTAGAAGCTCATGTCAGGTTTCCTTCATCTCAGAGGCACTTAAATTTGAGCTTGGTCAATGGTGATGAATTGGCATATACCTAGTATCTTTGAACCTCACTCTGATCCCACCATAATGATTTATATAACAAGCCAGCCCAGGGGTTTATGGGTCAAATCATCACCACCCAAGTATCACAAACGAAACCACTTAGTGTTCATTCTGATAGTGTTTTCCCTTTCAAAGCTCGGTCAGGATTCAGGACGGACTTATCCCAGTTGTGGTGTTGTGATGTTTACTTCATAAGCTGTGCTGTAGCCTGCCTGTAAGTAGGTATCTTCTAACACCACTCTAGTCGTCTCGACGAAATCCAAAGTGTTTGAATTAAAAGTATGACACCACCGGTACTTTTCAATGATGGGAATGGAGTGAAATACGCCACGTGATACAATGGTAACAGTCTATATACTGAGAGCAGGACTATTCGAGTAGCTAGGCTAGGTAGGCTCAGGTAGGTAGGCTTGAGCCACACCACAGTACACCTGGCCCTGTGACTCAGCGCGAGTACTACATCAATTGAATTCAACCAATCACAGAGTGCCCAGCTGCGTATATAAATAATGCTTCGAGATCATCAAATTACATGCGAGGTACTAGACAGCTAGGTATCCAATAACAATTGTGATATTATATTTGCCACACTTCACACTTCACACTTCACACTTCACACTTCACTCTTCATCCCTCACTCGTACTTCACTCTGAGCAAAAATGAGTCGAAAAGCATTTTAACTGTTTCTAGTAAATTTGGTAGATTTTAGCGCATTTATAAGAGTCATCCCACATGCAATCCCTGCTAGCGTACAATTGCTATCGAGAAAGGGTTTGCTGATTTTCCTGATAAATCCACTGCAGAGAACTTCGAAAATCTTCATTCAAATTGATAATTATCTACAAACCGCAACAATCAATCAATTCTTTCACTTTTTTTGATTAGAAAATCCTACCAGAAATAATACCAGATACTCAAGATCACACTTTCGCAAATAATTTAAATATGGCCGTTCGTGCGCAGTTTGAGAACTCGAATGAGTAAGTTTGCCTGCCTGCCTTACCCCTCCTCGATGGATGATATGATGAATTGGAGTGAGGGACGAGTACCCCACCATGGGTGGCACAATTGATATGATGGGTGTTGGAATGATGAGTTTGAACTGGCAATATGCCGAGGGAGAGAGAATGGATATCAATCACGAAGAATTTCGAATATTGGATAGGTTGCTGACAATTTGAATCTATCAGAGTCGGTGTCTTTGCTACATTGACAAACTCATATGCTTTGGTTGCTGTTGGCGCCAGTGAGAATTTCTACAGGTATGTGTATCCTCACGCTTTTATACTTTGGATGTCTGGCGCATTCCAGTCTTCTCTTGGTGGTTGAGCAAAAACTAATGAGGCGAACAAAAAGTGTATTCGAAGCAGAACTCCAAGATGTTATCCCAATTTGCCATGCCACCATCGCAGGAACTCGTATTATTGGACGTTTGACCGCAGGTAACAAGAAGGGACTTCTGGTACCAACGAGCACAACAGATCAGGAGTTGCAACATTTGAGAAATAGTTTACCGGACAGCGTTAAGATACAGGTGGGTTACTTTTCTATTATTCTGGGTGATTGAAGGGCTTTGCGACAGGTTTTGAGCTTTGCGATATTTGAAATAAGCTTGGCTTCACTGCTTCAAGGCTCTAATTCATTCTCCAAATACTAACAAACTACCAAACAGAGAATAGAAGAGAGACTCTCAGCTCTTGGAAATGTCATAGTATCAAACGATCATGTCGCCCTTGTCCATCCAGATCTTGAGCGCGAAACCGAAGAAATTATTGCCGATGTTCTCGGTGTTGAAGTTTTCCGTCAAACCATTGCCGACAATGTCCTTGTCGGATCCTACATGGCACTTTCCAACCAAGGTGGTATCGTCCATCCAAAAACCAGTATTCAAGATCAAGATGAATTATCTTCGTTATTACAAGTTCCATTGGTTGCCGGTAGTGTAAACAGAGGTAGCAGTGTAGTCGGTGCAGGTATGGTTGTCAATGACTGGATGGCCGTTACTGGATTGGATACTACGGCTACAGAATTAAGTGTGGTCGAGAGTGTATTCAGGCTGGGTGAGGGACAAGGCCCGAGTGATATTGCTGGAAAGAACAAGGATACCATGGTGGAGAGTTTCTATTAAGTTCTTTGGTAGTAGATGTGTATATGACGAATTTCGGAGGATCTAAGACTTCAGTCTTGTGGCTTCACTTCCCTCTGACAATGTTTAATAGATGCCATGGGGTATTTGCTAGCAAGGGAGCAATCTCTCCCACTGCTGAGATATGATAGATAGGGTAAACTGGTCGTTTGATGGCCCTAAATGGAGCTTTTCCCTCCCCATGCTAAAGTTCTGGCTTGCAGATTTGCATGATCCTCAAGCGGTGAAATTGGACCTGCAACTCTATTTAAACGGCTATATTGATATATGATCTCATTCTTGAGCGCAGTGGGCCATCTTCCTCTAGCAGACGAGATTTCGTTGGGGTGAATTGCTAGACCAATATTCCAGCCTGTCAGTCCATGTATGTACTTTTCAATAAAACAGTGCATCAATATAGCTTTGAAGAATTGCAAATAGTGTCCATACAAGAATTGTTGTGACAAATAGCCGTGAGCGAGTGGTAGTTCAATCTGATTTCTCTGGACCTCTCCGATACCCTATGAATTCCTTAACTGGATTCGATCTGGACCCTTCGACTCGGATGCAGAATTCTGAGAAGTGGCACGTGACCAACCCGCTTTCTTCGTGTTTTATAAGTCCGTGCGCGGCGCAGGTGATATCAACGCGTTTGCTCTTTTCGAAAAGAAAGTTCACCTTTACTTTACTTTTACCTTTTTCGAAATTTGTTTTTCTTACCATATTTTCGTGTTTAATTTTTTGATTCAGAAGTCCCTCTGGAATCTTTCAATGATGTTTTAGCAAAAAGGTTGATTGAAAGTGCAAATATCATCATCGCCACGGGACAAAGTTTGTTGGTGAAGGAAAGGATATTTTATACCGTGAGAAGAAAAGAAAGGACGAGGGAGAGGGAGAGGGACTAGAAATAAACAGACTGAGGGATAAAAATGGATGGGGGCGTGTCAGAGACGGATTTGGGGATGGATTTTATTGAACAGTGGGATTGGCAGCGGTTTAGGGAGGCCGAAAGTATGGAGCTGGAGGATGAAGAGGATAGTGTGATTCGAACGCAAGTGAGCGTTGAGAACGGAGAAAAGATGAATGAGACGACAAGAGATGTTGGTCGGATGGGAGGGGTTGGTGAGGTGGGTCAGGGGGGATCACAAAGTATGGGGTTAACACAGTATGATGGGCCGGCTGATGATGAGGTTGTGATTGGGAAAAATGGATCGGTGTCAGAAATTGGCATTGACGATGTTGATGAGGGATCGCGCCAAATGATTTTGCTCCAATGCGATGATCAGGCTGTATCCATATCGAAAACCAGTAGTGGAGATGTCGATGTGAGCTCTCGATGTGATGATGAAGCAGCCTCAAATCTACCTACGGAGGAAGGGTTGAACACAAACGCTCACGTGGCTCAAAAGCAAAGAATGGTTACGGAAGATGTTGAGCCGTACAAGGAAGAGAGTGGGGTGATTTTGCAAAAAGGCGATGATACAGCAGATGAGCAAGAAGACAAAGAGATGAATCTAGCTGGTGATAAAAGCACTCCGGAATTCCCTGGGGCCGAGATTGGCAATCAAGAATTGGTCAAAGTTGATGAATCAGCTCTACTCGAGGAAACTCGTAAGAATACTTCAGAGTCAATCACAACAACTACTGAAATGACAATTGACTCTAGTCTCATCGCGGATGTCGATCCTTTCGGGGGAAACAAGTCTTTTGAAGAACAAATCTACCAAAAGTCAGATGATAAGATCAAGGATTCGGGCTTAGGCAGCGAGAATATTGCGTCGGAGGGGGGCGATGACATCTTGAACTCGGAAGAAGCCATTACTGAGATGGGAGCTGCGCCTGTAATTGATAAGCCTATTGATGGAGAGAACAATCAAATCGGAGGAATTCGTGACAATTTTCCAACTTCGAACATCACTTGTTCCGAAACGGCTGTCGAGACTGAAATGATTGTCAACAAAGACGCACATTCTGGAAACGAAGATATTGGTGCTGAAAGCATTACCAGCGGCTGCCTGAGTAATGAAGATTTAAGGAGCCTTGAAGGGAAGCCAAGCTCGATATCTATTATGGAACATTCACCTGCCAAATCCGCACCCGGAGACAATTTTTCTAGAGGAGTCCCGTCAATAGATGAGAGTATCATGAATTCCGCGAATATGGAGAGTCTGTCAAATCTCACGCATATTCAAGATCTTGGAATTCCTAATCAACTACCTGTGGAGGATGACAGCTTGGATGATGTTGAATTGCCTTCACTTCCCAGATTGAAAGCTCCAGTACAGCCAAGACAAGTAGAAATTCCGGATAGTGATGCGATCACAGAGCCAAGTCAACATTCTCCGCAAAAACTCAGTCATAATAGGAATACATTCGATAGCTCGGTGAAATATGGAAAGAATGTGGAAATGGCTATAGGAGTCGATGCGGTGGTCAGAGAAAAAAATGAGAATACGGAAGCCGAAGCCGAAGCCGAAGACCTTCTGAGCTCGTTTGGGAGAGAATGTGCTACAAGCTCCATAGACCCAAAGAAAAATCTCAAAGAACTAGAAATGATGGAATCTGAAACTCCACAGAATGGTATAGATGATTCAAAACAAATTGAAAAGTCGGTTGGGCGTGTACCGATTGGTTCTGCCGGGAAAGTGGAGGAAGATTCTAGATCCGACGAAGATGACATGGATCTTCACCCGCTCTCTACTCAGACATCACCTCAGAAACCAACAAATAAGAGGGGTCGACCACCAGGAATAAGAAGATTTAAAATGGCCAATCGTCAAGCTGACGAAGAAAGTATTGAGAGTAAAGAAGTGCTTGTCGAGGCTGATTCAAATAAGCCATTGAGCGCGGAGGACGAGAAAATCCTCAGTGTTACTAGTCATGCGGCCGAGAAAAAGAAACGAGGCAGGCCATCTACTAGGAAAATTTCTACATCATCTGCCGATGAGCTTGTCAACAAATCAGAGGAAGCAACGAAACATACAGCTTCTACAGATGCCACAGGTGATGATTTCTCTCCGAATAGCCCCGCACCCGAGAAGAAAAAGCGAGGACGACCATCTAGTAGGAAGACCTCCTTGTTATCTGCTGATGAGCTTGCCATAGAAGATGATAAAGCAGCTATGGATGTACCGGAAGGCTACGAAGCCACTTTCATCAACAATCCAGCCAATCCACATTCATCTCCCAGAAGACCCCCAGAAGACAAGTTGTATCCAAGTAGCCCTACACCTAAGAAGAGAAAACGCGGAAGGCCATCGGGGAGAACAACTTCTATCTTGCCTACCGTCACGAATGATGGTGACGATCTTGAGATGAAGACGGCTTTGATGGATGAAGAGACTATACATTTGAATATCGGTCACAAATCGACAGATGAGCCAGCTGCAAACTCTCCTCTTCATATCACGCAAGAAGAGAAGAGAAAAGGAAGACCGGCGGGTAGAAAGTCTTCAGGTTTGATTCCTGAGAAGAAGTATTCTGAGGGGCCAGACGAAAAATTGGATGAGTCAGATGACCTGACAGCAAGAGCCTCAGTCAAGATTGTTGATAATCATGATGAATCCGAAATCAACGATACGGTCGATGGAATACCCACCAATTCGTCTTCACCTGTCAAGAAAAAGAGAGGAAGACCAGCCAGTAGAAAATCTTCCGGCTTGAGTCTCAAGACAACTAACACTGAAGAAGTTACCAGACATGATTCAAGTAATGTTTCAGTGATCATTCCCATAGATATTGAAACGGAACAAGCTACGCCTAGTCGAAACTCTACTGAAAAGCATATTGCTATCCCATCTTCATCGGTCAAGAGAAAGAGAGGAAGGCCTGCAGGACGTAAATCTTCTGGGATCGAAGCAGAACATACAGACGCTGATGAGTTGTTATACGAGACTTCACCATTGCCTCACGGTGATTTTAATGTACAAGACACTACAGATGGGGAAGCAATTGATGATTCGGATGAAAGCTCGGCTGTACGACCTAAAAAAAGAGGTCGATCTGGTCGAAAATTATCTGAACTTAATCCTGAGAAAATACACGTCAACCAAGCTGTCAATGATAGCTCTGAAATTATTGCAACGGAAGGGACCTTTGAAAGCATTGCTAAGGAGTCTATAGGCGATGTCAATTCCACTGATGAACTAGCTGATCTCGATTCCTCACCAGTGAAGAGGATGAGAGGAAGACCTGCTAGCCGAAAGGTGTCTCGACTAAGTCCCAAAAAGACAACCATTGACGAAGCTTCAGAAGAGACTCCAATCACCCCAAAGAATACTCTTACAGATGCTGGTATCCGCAAGCCTGTATCCAGGACGCAATCCGTTGATGAGCCGCAAACTTTTGCCAATACATCACCAGAGAAGAAAAAGAGAGGTAGACAGGGTAGTCGCAAGGTCTCCGCGGTGACTATTCCAAACAAGGGGTCCATTAAACCTCCAGAAGCAAGTCAGGTGGACATTGTATCACAAGAGACCGTAGCCGCAAGCGTTGATCAACCAGTTGTGGTCATTTCTTCGCCAGAGAAAAGGAAAAGAGGTAGACCTTCCAATCACAACTCTTCTAGTGTCAGTGCCGTAAACAAAGATATCATTGAAACTGGCGAAGCGAGTTCTAGCAATGCTGCCGCAAAAGCTTCCGACAAAGTTGTGGATGTCGATATCAACGAACCTGCACCTGATGCAAGCCTGCCGGTCAATACTTCACCCGAGAAGAGAAAAAAAGGTCGACCTGCCCGCAAAGCTTCTAGCTTGAATACCGAGAGTGCTACCATAAAGAATAAGTCAGATGATGTTGTTAGTAGTGGCAAGAATATCCCTACTGAGATTGTCGACTCAGATGAGGAAGAAGATGCGCTGCTCAATGAATCGTCGCCTCCCAAGAAATTTAAGCCAGAACCAAGGAAGAGAGGCCGACCATCTGGAACTAAAGACTTGGGTGCCAGTACTGAAGACATGAAATCTGGCGAAGAAGATTTGACAGAGGTATTGAGCGCTAGGGCTAAGAGTGGTGAGACAAATCAGATGGATACACAGATTGAGGGAAAACCTTCGGCATCAGAGAAGAAGAAACGAGGTCGACCCTCCGCAGCCAAATCTAGGCGAATCAGTAATAGCGATTCTGATTCTGCAGAGGAAGAACAACAATTACCCGACAAAGTTGAGCTTCGTAACATTGAAAGTGAGGACTTTGATGAGGAAGAAGCTGATGGACAAGAAGAGCCGGTGATTGAAAAAAAGAAAAGGGGAAGGCCAAGCTTACTCAAGAACAAAGGGAAGCAGATTGCAAAAGCTGAAGAGCCTGCAGATCAAGATGTCATTATTAATGAAAAGATATCTATCGCCGGTGGTACTAAAGATAAAGTATCCGGAAGTCAGGTGTCCACATCGTCAAACACTTCCTCCCAACGCCAAGATGCGTTTTTAGCCGAGATCAAAGCGATGAAACTTGTAAGTTTATAGTCTCCCTTTGATACCATATTTCCTTTTTCTTCCTCAATATATTAACTGATTCTATCTATAGACATCAATTCAAACACGCAATGCGAATCTCAAAGCCGAGATTGCGCAAAAGCGCGAGAAAATACAGGAAATCACGGAAGGATTGGAGAAACCGGCGAAGCAAACGGTCAAGAGACATATTAAGTTGTTGCATGATTATAATGATATCAAAGATGTGGGACAGGGACTGCTGGGTATGATTGCTGATAATAGGGGTGTGAGGGTGGGGGAACTGTATGAGGAATTTGGGGTGGGGATTGCGGATTAGAGGGGTTGATGAGAGGGGAATGGAGGAAATGGAAAGAATGTCCAGCGAGATTGGCGATGAGCGAATCTCGGGGAGAGGAAAGATATAAGGATGAGTATAAAAGCAAGAAATGAGTATATTGCTAATGGGGTGCTTTTGGTTTGCTTTCTTTATTCTATGATACCATTTTGCCTACTGTTTGCTGGGGCGTAGTAGATGTTTTTTTATCTGGGGGAGAAAATATCAAAGGAGCTGGGCTATTGAATGTGTAATGCTTGCTTGTGCAATGAGATGGAGATGGATGGGAATAGAATTTTCTCTTTGATAATGTTATATAAACACAGGTAGTTGCGTAGGTAGCTGTAGTAGCTTTATATACAATAGGAGGCTTTTTTACTATCTATCATGTTTATATGGAAATGAGCATTATATTATGATGGAATTGAAATAACCTTTCCGGAATAGTACCTTAGTACTTGATGCCAGATACCGTATGAATCTAATAGCTTTGTATTGGTTGGTATTCTTTGAGAGGTTAAATGAAGACGTGTGGGAGTATGGAATCTCGCTTGGAGAAGTTCATAAGAGTGTGAAGAAAATAGAAAAGATGGGGTTTATTAACATTTACTTCAAAGTCACGAACACTTTTATTATACTATTTTAATTATCAGATGGTTTAGTCCAATAGATGGCCTATTTTCAAGGACGAGATAGTGACTATTGCCTGATCCCTTCGTAGACCTAAATATTATTCATAGCTTCAAAAACTCACTTCCCCTCAAATCCTCAAACTCCTCACCCTCCCTACAATCCACCCCCTCCTTCAGCACCCTCTCCACCTCTTCCCCCACCTCTCCCTCCCCATTCAACAAATCAAAATACCCGCTCTTGACCCCCTCCTCCCCCAACAATCTCACCGCAACCTCCGCCACATCCCCTCTGGTAACCTTCCCCTGTCCCCTGGTCTTGCCCAAACTCACCTTCCCCGTCTCCTCCTCATCACTCAGCGTCCCCGGCCTCAAATCTATCCACATCATATCTTTTCTCTCCTCTCCCAACACGACTAATGCTTGATCTGCCGCTAACTTCGCTTTGTAGTAATCGGGAAGAACTTCCGTGTTGACTTTCTGTACATATGTCCAATCTTCTTCGCTCCACCATGGGGCTCGCGAGCGACGGCATATGAGCGCAGAGACGAGGAGAAATTTGCTGATGGAGGGAGTAGAGAGAGAGGCCCGGATGAAGTGGATACAGGCTTTCTGATCGATGGCGTAGGTGCGGTCTTTGGAGCCTTTGCCGCCGGCTCCTGGTGATTCGCAATAGCTTTAGTCAGTATTTCATTTCTTCAATCGCAATCGCAATCGCACTCTCCGACCCTTCCTTCCCAAGAATAAGAATAAGAATAAGAATAAGAAAGGGGAAATGGAGAAAATCATACCAGCACACCAAATAACCCAATCAGCTTTCACCTTTTCCAAAATCTCCTTCGCGTCACTCTCGTTCTTCACATCTTCTATGCTGGATACGAGCACCTCGAGATTTCCGGCGCTACTTTTGGGGGCGCGAGAGGCGGCAGCTAGGATATCGGACTTGTGCTCCGGATTGCGGATCATGGAAATGAGGTTCCAGGATCGAGAGAGGATTTTGGGAGTGAGCAGGAGAGAAACTTTACCGTGCCCGCCGAGGAGGAGAATGCGCGGGGTAGAGGGTGACATTTTTTTTTTTTTTTGGTGTGAGAGGAGTTGATGGTTTGAGTGTTGTTTTGGTTTTGTGAGGTGGGAAAAACTTGGTGGGAGAGAATTAATGATTTGGTATTTGAATGTTTAAATAGATGGCGGATATTAGTTATTAGTAGCTATTAACCCGAGTTGATATAATTGTTTGACGTTGTTGTTGTGGTGGGTGAGAATGCGGGGTCGAATGGCATTATAATTAGTGGAACTTAGTGGGGAATCTTCGATTACGTCATAATCTATCTACTTACCGAGCCTACTACAGTATGTGCCTCTACGTAAGCGAAATAAGAAACAGAAGTTAAGTATCGTTCAAAAGGACTTTGATAATTCGAATCTCTCTTAGATATTGTATTAAATGCATATAGTTTTTACTGTTTATAAAGAGAGTTCAATTTTTTGTTTAATCTTTTTAGAATCTAATATTTGATTTAAAATGAATTTATAATTCAGTCAGGAAGTTCTTTGAAAGAGGATTCGATTCCTCTTATTTCGCTTACGTAGAGTGTACTTACCTACCTATTACATCCTATTGGTAGGAGAAAAATCAGACGGAATTTGATTATTTAAATTTATATTGGAATCCTATGATTGGTTATCGTGGAGGATAGCTATGTTACTTAGTTACTTTGAGTAAAGGAATTATAGAAATGAATATTGACAATAAACAAGATTGACTTGAGGATTAATTACAATCAATCAATCTATATCATCTTAGCTAACTAACATCCTAGGGAAAGAGCTATGATCTCTACTGATTGTTCAGACTATTGGTGATTTGTAGTGGATCAGGGACTAAGTACAAGGTATATGTCAAGATGAATTGATCCTTGATCGGATGCTCAAACTAATGAGTCGTAGAATCTCCATCCCAAACAGCTTCCAAAATCCAAAGGTTAGAATCAGCAGGTTGCTTCCCTCCCTTGAATGTAAACCTTGGATCCGCATCTTCGAAAAGTTTCGCCTAATCTTTTTTTTTCTCTTTCCCTCGAGTCTAGATCTCAAACGTTCCTCGCACCATCTAGGCAAATTTCCTGGCTCCGGAAGCACATTATCGTTGATGACACTGCGCGCACTTTTTTGAGAGCGGGAATGTGGTTGCGCAGTATTCGAACACAGTAATATTTGTCAGATCAGTTGTGGAAAATCCATCGGAAGAAATAGATGTTTGCATTCTTGAGTGGCTGGTCTTTCAGCAAGTCATGGGCTATGAACTTGATCTTGTCTGATGGCTCCAAGGGGATTGTCTTAGCACCAGCTTCAACTACTGGTGGAAGATCTTGAACAATAAAGTTGAGGTCATGGAATGCTTTCGCAAGTCGTGTACAGGCAAAGCCATGCGAGCCGCCAACCTGTTGATTTATTAGCGGGATTGATAAATCAAGAATTGCAGAAACATTACATACATCAACAACAGTACCATTACCAACCTCCTGCCAGGAGTAGTTATCAATGACGTATTGAAGATCGTATCCTGTACCCTCTGTCCAAGCTTTCATGGCACTGCCAAAACGTTTTGCTCGTGCTGGATTCTGGGACAAAACTTCGGATACAGATTTATCCGTACCATTCGCAAGCGCAAACCACTGTAGAAGCTCATCAGTCTAAGTATCTGCACTTTGTGTCAAGGGACTGTACAGTTTCACTTAGCTCTTGGGATCCCGGATGCTTCACTATAGCGTTAACCGTCTAGGTTGCGGCTTGCCATAGCTTATCGGAGGTGGTCTCAACCCAATCAGCTATTTGCTGATCTTCTGCTATCATCCTGGATGCAGCTGTGTGAGCAACAACGCCCCTCTTCGATTCCTTGCATAGGCGTAAAATTATAGCATGACGAAGAATATGACGAACGTCAAGCTCATTGACACTACATCTTTTTGCGATATCGGCATAAGAAACTTCTTCATGAATCGGAATGCTTTTCGTAATATCAAAGCGACTAATTGCTTGCATGCTTATGAGCCAATCATGCTTTAACAAATTAGTAAAGAGCTTAGTAGTTGCTTTTGTGTATACTCACGGTTAATTTCATTAAATACTCCTTGGGCCCAAGAATGAGATCATGAAGCATCAAAGTTGCATCAGTAAGCTCTGATCGAGCAGCTTCGAGTTCTGGAGCATCTGAAGGGACGATTGGCTCGGTAGGAGCGTCAACATCGAATGATGGGGACTTTGGGCCTTGACTGCTTAAGTAGTGATCAATTTTGGCAGTATTTGCCGATATTATCGCAGCTAGTTCAGTGATTGTTGGTTGCGCCATGATGAAGTGAAGAAGTATTGTTGAAGGACTTTTCTCGAGGAAGAAGGAGGGGCAATATATGTTGAGAGCAAAGAGGGCTCTGGTAAGAAATGACCGTTGAGATGTTGCGGAGATTACATTCCGGGCTGCAGACATGCCGTAAAGAAGGGGCGCAGAAACCGCATCTGACAGATGTTCTTAATGCAATAAGAAAGCCTAAGATCAATATTCGAATGTAGTAGGTAGCATTGGCTATCTTGATTCTGCAAGTGCCGCATGTGCTGGCGTGTTGATTTTGTAAATTAAAAATGAAGAACTTCACACGCCGGGAGAAGTGTTCCTAGCCATCAAACAGGGAAAGACTATAATAGGATACAAATCAGAGAATCAATTTTATAGCTACTACAGTCTAGTTACATCGATTGAGAAAATTACAATAAACCGAGACCTCGCTATCCAAGAAAACCGTTGATCGTAACTATGGCGTCTGTAATTACAATCATTTTGATTAAAATTAATCAGGTCTTCAAAGCTTCAGCTTCTCCCGTTTCATGAATAAGGCCATGAGGAGCGATGATGCAACGGCGGCCATTGGCGACACAATTTGCCTCCTGCACCGATCATATCAGACATGAACAGATCCGAAACGAGATATGAAGATGGACAGAATTGACATTCTTACCAGAAGAGATTTTTTCCAGATGCCGCAAGGAGGAAGGCTACAGGGAGCCAAGCTAATTTATCGACTGATGAAAACTGTCGGACGACTGCGGACTGCACGTCAGCAACGATTGTGTTATCAAGTGAGAGTAGAAAGGTTGATGATAAAATCGAAAGAACCACAAGAGCCCATCGAGCGCCAGTGACAATACGAGGTGGAGATTAAGAGGGGATCCCGTCGATGCTTGGGGTCTTTGAAACCTCCTTGTCCTTTTCAGGTGTCGCAATCAGGATCTCTTCCGAGGTAGGTTCAGAAGCCACTGAAAGATCCAGGGTAGGCGCCTTCTGCTATACTTCGAGATCAGCATTCATTTCGCTGGCCATAATGAAGAATTCTGAAAGTCTCCAGAAGCGGGTGTTGGCTAGTCTTGAAAGATGCCTTGATGAAATACCAAGATTTGACTTGTACTGAGTTTTCACCATTCATATCGGTAGTGTCCGGATCATGATTACACATGCGATGTGACACAGCCACATGCATCCTAGAAAGCCTATGAATGGAACTTTTCATATGCGTTAAGATGATCAACACATAATCGGTGAGGGTGATGGAGATGAAGAGACTTCAACACTTCCCGGGTATATCTCCCGCCGCCCTGAAGAAGAGTAGATTCATGTCAATGTACGAATATCTATAGATTCCTTCAGCAAATAATCAATGTGCAGCATCCTCCAGTTGGTATGTAGTTGTAAACCTTTCACTTCATACCGTTATGTTCGCCCAGCACCTGCGCGGCGCAATCATTTTGGTCGAGTAGATTCTCCTTTCGGATATTACCAACATCAAAACCAATACCCTACTATCCGAGTATGCCCGAGGCCAAATACTGTTCCATTGGTACTCGCCAACTGGATCATCAGCAACTAATCCAACGGCCCGGTGCACGTTGGCGGCGATGTTCTGCAGCATCCATCACAGTAGCAATGGACTGTCAGTCATTCTTATTATGGAATAGATTCTCAAGTACCATGTAGTTGTATTTTACGGCAAAAACTCGATGATAGTGGAGTATTGTACAGTCCTTCTTGATCTGCCAAGTCTTTTCCGTTTACAACTTGCAAATTCATAGCGCTTTAGAGATTTTGCGCATGTCTTTTTACCATGGAATTTCAGGTCATTTCAGGTCAACACAGACCGCAGTCTGCGGGGAAGGTATGCATGCTTACCTAGCCACCTGAGCCACCTGAGCCACTTGCACGAATCGGTACAAATATGTAGAATTGGTTACAACTCCATATATCCTTCAAACGCTTCATTTCGCTTCGACCTCTTTCTCGGTGCCGTCTTCGTTGAACCAGGCATAAGCAATAGCATCATCGTCATCTGCACCATCGGTGAAATCGCCAGCCACAACGGTAGTACCCAAATGAGCAGCTTGTTGCTCTACTCCTATTACTGCACCTGTATAGCCCCTGTTAGATCTTCATCCATCGACAAAGTTGATGCGTCATTTACGAGCCTGGGCCATCTATACTGGCTTTGTGAGAGCCTTTCTCGAGCCATTATTGCAGGGGCTACAAGGGTAAAGGGAAGACTGGTGGGGTGCATTTTGATGTCTACATGTGGAGAAGTAGATTTGAAGTAAAGTGGTATTGACGATGACTTTGTCTTGAAAAGAACGATTCAATATATCGAAGTTTGATAGAGTAAATTGGATTTCCCAGAGGAAGGAAGAAAGCTTTAATAATTGGCCTTTGAATCTCTTGACTGAGTCTTGTCTTGCTAATAAGAAAGTAGCAGCCTAGAAATCCTTGGTCCATGATATGACCGAATACCTCCTCGGTCATGCCGTCGAATTCGATAATGTGGTTCAATTTAGTACCGGTTATCAAGAGCTGGAAATCGATGCCGTGAATTACTCTTTCCTGTCCCGTTCTGTCTGAAATTGAACACAACGTTAAGGAATTCATGAATCTTATATCGAGGACATTATCTAGTTCACGAATCTGACATGATAATCAAACTGTTTGGAGCTACTACTCTGTAGGTAGGTCCACGGGTGCATTTGATAGCTCGTTACCTAAGCCACATCAGCCACATCAGCCACATTAGGTAGCCACCCGTGCGTGAACCAGTAGAATGATCGAGGTCGTGGGTGTCAAAGTGCACGGATAATTACGACACGTGACCATGACGGCTAGCCTAGCCTAGCCCTATGTTTCTCGTACTCCCTCCAACATTACACCACCTCAATTACCTTGACATCTTCAAATAGTGAGAGGAACCTGAATGATCTATGATTATCATAGTTGGCAGAACAATCTTGCCGCTCCAGCGAAAAAAAATACGTCTTCCTTTATGTAAAGATCTCGCGTCTTGGGAATTCACCATCTCCTGCCATGAGAGCTTCTTCCTTTCTTCTCCGCTCTCCTTCACATTTCAGTGCACCATGTCACTAGAATTGATTTAATATCAAATTTACACGAACCAGATAAGATTCTTTTGCCTGTAGGGTGGTATGTGTGGGGAGCTAAATTGCAGTGGTTGTTCGAATTCAAGGAGTGAGTGCGACATGATATCATGATATACACAGGATCCAGAGAGTCATGAGAGTTATGCCCCAGTGATGTTGCAGCATCACTTTCCATTTTATGTCAAGATGAATTTGCATGCGTTATTTCACCTTTTCGGCAAACTCCTGAGTAACAAAAATGAATCATGCATAGATTATTTCATTTTATCGTTAATAGCAGGAGTTTTACCACTTATTGGGGACCGGGAACCACTCATCTACGCTAGTGTGGTTACTCAACCTCGCACAACTTATCAGATTTCTAACTTGGCTTCCACGTCAACCACAAAATACATACATATTACTTCAATCATGTTGACTAGTAGGTGGTTAGCAACTAAGTACGAGTGTATGATTTTCCTCGGTCGAGGCAGCACCGAGATAGTTGTCAAATGTTTACAGAGTCGTACATTCTAAACCTCGAGAATGAAGGTCATTTGGAAGAGCAGCAAGTGAATCAGGGTTTGAGCACAATAATTGATGTGCTTTCAAGTGAAACTACAGAAAGGTTGAAGTACGTTTGCAAGCTATTAGATTAGATTGTCGCCTCTCACATTGTTTCTTCTTCATCCCAAATTAGATTGGTCCGGATAAACATCAATTGCTGCTGTTCACAACATCATGATGGTCATTCTGTAACTATCTGTTTTCGGCAGCTCGTGGCATCTTGCAAGAGGCTCGTTTGGGGTTCCGCGAGAAACACGGCTGGCTGAATCTCTCCTCTACCAGATTTTCAATGCTTCACAAAGCACAAAGTGACATTTTTCTATGGGATATTGCCTTGATTTGTATTCAGTAAGGCATCAAGGTTGGCTGAATTTTCTCCTACGGCAGAATTATCCCTATTTAAGGATAGTTGTGGCACGATTGTATGTATGGTCGTATGCAATATGGTCTCCTTCTGCTTTGGATAAGAATTCATGGCTGACTGAATCTATTTTCTGCAACTTACATGTTGCTGTTCGATGTAAATCGCGACTCAGCTGCACGGTATGTTGTGCTGCCGTGCAATAATTTTAGGAGCGTAAAGCGGGGTTGAAATCATGGAAGAATAGCAAAGTGCCTATCGGCTCACGGTTGTGGTCCACCTGTGAGCTGATACACAATCACAGCATCTTCGTGAACTAATTTAATTGTTGTCTCTTCTTGGTGAAGAATTCACAGGTGGATGTCAGTGCATGAGTTTCGTGTAATAAGACGTAGTAGAAAGGTGGCACTATGATGAAGTGAGGAGCTATAAGGTTGAGACGAATTATCTTGAAGTTAACATTCAACAGTCAAAATTTCATCTCATAAACTCAATTTGTCATAATCACCCATCTTTCAATCGAATTACCTGGAACTGATAATTCGTTCCACACCATCCCTGTAACAATGGGTATGCGTTTATCTTGCCCTGTCATCATATCAAGCTAATGAACTTTCTTCGTAGCTGGAATCACAGCCGAAAGCATCGCAGCACTACGCGATGAAGCCTCTCATTCTATGCGATGGCTCGATATGACCCTCTCAAATCCTTCGTCTGATCCAAACGATCCTAGAGCGGCGCATCAAGCATATGCCTTGAAAGTCATCGAAGATCCTACCAACAGTTTCATCCGATTGATCAAAGACCCTTTGAACTTGATCAGCGTAATGGGCCCTGCGCGTTCCGGGAAGTCTACAATGATGAACATTCTTGCTGGCTGCACCGTTACAGAGCTATTCTCAACTTATCCAGGCATGGAGACTTTCACCAAAGGAATTCAAATTCCAACCAGAGTACTGGTAAGATTTGATTGAGTCCTTTGTAGTCCTAGAACTAACATATTCAAGACACTTCCTCAATTTTCTTCACTAGAAGGGGCAACAACTGTGGTTCCAAGTACCGCAAATGTCAAGGTAACTTTTGTAGATACAGAGGGGCAAGGTGCTATAGGAGATAATTATGAGTACGTTATATTCTGGCACTCAACAATTTCGAAGGATAGTATTATCGTTGTGGTTGCATTCTACCATGAAGAGAGTACGAATGTATGTAGCACGCATGAGACTTTGGTGGGCGGAGAAACGAAGGTGCTCACATGAAGTTCTGTTTTTCTTTGCTGATATTTTCTAGCATGGATCTCTTCAGTCCCGCATTGGTCACGTCGCGAGTCGTCATCTACAATCGCACTGGGGGTCTTCTCACCGAAGAAATCCTGTCACAACTTGGTATGATGACCCAAGCAGCACAAAGACTTCGTGCAGGTGGGAACGATAAATCCGGCAACACAGCGATTACCGGAATGTCTGGGACTTCTGGGACGTCTGGAAAAGCTGCTACAGATCCACTCTTTGGTCATCTTTTCATAATCTTTAATCAATTTCGAACGAACAAAGTCGACACGGTTACAACGCTCAAGAATGCTCTCATGAATCAGGAGCCAGAAACCGATTCAAACTCGACGAACAGAAACAATATCCGCAAACTTCTAACATCCGTGTTTGAATCTATCCAAGTTTTCATCCTGCCCGATAGTCTCAAAAGCGAGGCTCGTGATGCTCTTGCTGATGGTCTCAAAGATTTTATCTTACTCACAGACTTCACTCCAAAGTATCTGGAATATTTCAAATTGCTTCGAGATGGCCTCTCTAAAGCCTTGGTCTCCCCTCGAGAGCTTGCTACTGGAGTGCCACTCACAGGGGGCACGATTGCTGATTTTATGCCGTCATTCGCAGACGCGATCAATCGTTCACAGCCATTGAACTTGCCATCAATCTTTGAGCAGTCTCAGAATAATGCTCTGAACAAAGTACAGATTAATTTTGCGAATTCTTTGAGTGTTGTCTCCGACAACATACTCAAGGATCCTACTTTATCAACTCAATTACTTTCCATCAAATTTGATAGCAGTGTGAACCTGCTTCTTAGTCAACTTGCTAGTTCCATCTCATACATGCCGGTGGATGTTGTTCAGGCTGCACAAAATACTGCGTCGAACTCCACTACTGCCGTCAAAGCTGATCTCATTGCGACAAATCTTGGTAGGATAAAAACCTTGATGTCCACTACCTTGACCAATTTAATTGCCTCGATCGGAGACGAGCTATTGAAGGTCTTTCCAACAAACAATATTCTTCAGTCACCAACAGATATTAACAATGCTTTCACTACTTTGTTTAACACTCTTTCAAGCACATACAAGAACAAAGGAGATATGTATGATCCTCAGGCGTTGCCTGATCAATACGAGGCAATAATACAATCATCTCTTGATTTACACAAGTCTGGTATACAATCCAAGGCGGCTAGTTCCTGGGCTGTTTGGGCTACCAACTTGTCTCAGGCTAGCATAAAGACTTTGACGGAAACCTTGACCACACTTGGCAGGAGCACGCAAGTGGGTAACGACAACCAGTACAACACTAGTGCTACCTCTGCTTGCAACACGGCAAAATCAAATTTCAATCAAAAAGTGGATAACGAATACCTATGGTCTGACAAACAAGACAAAAAAGATCTTTTCGCAACTGCAGCCGACAATACCATGGCTACTCAAAAGGCAATCTGGCTGAGCAACGAAGCAGAGATCAAGGCCAGTCTCAATGTCATATTTGACAGTCTTAAGCAAACATATGTCATGAAGCTCCAGAATTCTATTGTGCCACTATATGAACCTGAACCATTTGAAACAATCACTAATTCTACCTTGATCAAAGTCAGTACATAACTCTCTGTTTCTCGCTTCAACGTACTGAAATGTGGTTTCCAGGATGCATTGATTCTGTTTTGCACAGAAAATAAGATCTCTACAGCCATGGCAACCAAGTTTGGGATGGATTTCGATGTATTCGCATCCGAGAAAAAGTCGAATTTTGTCAACACTTATAACACAGGTATGTGTGGTTGACCTGCAAGAATCACTTTGAGAATGTATTAAGTCTCGATTTATAGCATGTGATACCTACAAAGCCTAACGTAAGTCATGGCGTAATGCGTCTAATGGCGTAATGCGTCTAATTGTGGGGGACCACCCCATCAAAAAAGCAACAATTCAACAATGGTCCGTCGAAAAAGTTTAAAAGTGCAGGAAATGGAATCTCGACTTTCTGAAGCAATATTAGGAGTTCAAAATGGAAAGTATAAGTCTTCATATGAAGCTGCAAAAGAACTGGGGCTTTCTAAAGATACTGTGACGCGACGCGTCAAAGGGGGTTCATCGCGTTCTGAAGCACATCAATCGCAACAGAAACTTTCTGCTGTACAAGAGAATGTACTTCTTAAGTGGATAAAGCAATTGACAATTAGCGGCTATTCACCAGGCCATCAGTTGTTAAAAGAATTGGCTGAGGAGTTACGTTCAAAACGGACTTATAATTTGGATTGCCCCTCATTTGACTCCCTTGAACTCCCACCACAACACCTTCTTGGTCATGAATGGGTTCCACGATTTATCAAACGACATCCTCATCTTACAGTTGTTATTGGCCATCGAATTGAATCTGTAAGAATGGATGGTGCAATCAGGGAAACATGTAGTATTTGGTTTGACACATATCAAAAAGCGATTCAGGATTATGGAATTGAAAAGAAAGACGAATATAATATGGATAAATCTGAACATTCAATTAGGACAATAGAATCAACTCGAATTATTATCGATTCTACACTTCATACAAAACATCAAGCACATCCAGACCATCAAGAGTGGATTTTAATGATAGAGTGTATTTGTGCGGATGGATCCATTCTTCCACCACTCAGGATTTTTAAAGATAAAAATGTCCTTCAAAATTGAATTCCGAAGGAAGTTCTTAATAGCTGGTTCTTTTCAGCAAATACAAAGGGCTGGACAAGCAATCTTCATGGATTAGAATGGCTAAAACGCGTTTTCGAATCTGCAACTTGTGCAAAAGCAGGTGGCAAATATCGGCTTCTCATCTGCAATGGCTACGATTCTCATATTAGTGGAAGCTTTATAGCTCACTGCCTTCAAAATCGAATTGTACTTCTTATACTTCCTCCTCATACCTTGCATTTGCTTCAGCCACTTGATGTTGCGGTTTTCAGTCCATTGAAAAAAACGGCTCATTGCAGCACTTTCTGATTTGAATCAAGCTCAACTTGTACGAATACAAAAGATTGAATAAATAGAGGCATATATTAAAGCTCGAGCCGACATATGCCATCATCAAAATATCGAATCGGTATAACGGGGAGCTGGATTACATCCATTTAATCCACAAAGAGTGTTCTGTATATTGGGTCGAGAGTTTACCCCCCGAAGTCGAAATATCCAAAGAACCAACCCAATTTGATATTTTTAACCAAGTCTTCGTCAATAGCTCATCCCCAAATGTAGCAATCTTACAAACAGCAAATAACCTTTTAAATTCAACAATTGAAAATGATACGACTCTTTCAACCCCGGTTCGTCAATACATTCGAAAATTGACGATTGGGAGTGAGCAACTTCGAGCTCAAAGTATTGTTCACCAACACGATGCGAATAATTTACGAGCTATTATGAAGAAACGTACGATACGTAAGAAAGGAAAGAGACTAGTTTTGAAGGGTCATTTTCATATTTCTACGCAAGAATTATGTGATGCAGTAGTGGAAGTCGAAAAAGCTACTAAGGTACAGACAATGAAAAAAGGAAAAGGGAAAGGGAAAGTAATTGAATATGAAACTGAAACTGAAGAGGATATTGGAGAAGAAGTTGAAGATGAATCTGAAAGTGATACTGGAGATTGTATTATAGTTGATTGTTGAGTAATTGAGATTTTAATAGAGTGGTTCCCCGCAATTAGACGCATTACGCCATTAGACGCATTACGCCATGACTTACGTTATATTACCGGCGAGCTTGCAGCTCAAGTGCCCCTTATTCTTCAATCTTGTCGAGATAGATTAGATCTTATTGATCTAAACTTGGATCTACCAACCACCACCAGAAACCAGATTGTATGATCAACACTCGGATGTTTACCAAATCGTGACTAATGGAATTCAACAGACATTGTCATCAAGTGCGGCTGTGACGATTGCGAAAAACGACTTCACCCTGGCTAAAGGTAATCTCCACGCCTTACCAAATGGGGCAATTTCAAGCACAAAAATACAGACTTACCAATCGCAACTTGATATGGGACTCGAGCTTTATAGAAAAGCCAAAGTTGACAAGTATGATGAGGTCGTGTCTGTGTACAACAAGGCACTGCTTAGCGAGGTGGTTATACCTATCATTGATCAAGTGAGTTGGTCTGAATCAAATCATCTGTTCCAAAGAGCTGACTATGCCAGACTCTAGCAAATAATTTTGTTAGCACAGCGGCCTTGGACACCAAGATTACAATGCATTTGATGATATTTATGAGTAGGAAGAAAGGCGAAGAAGATTTAGCTCTCGCGGTATTACACTTACATTTTAATTTTTGTGAAAACACGGAAGCTAATATTACATCAGAAATGGAACGAATGGAAGACAAAAACATATCCTGCTCTCGTGGAAGTAGTACAGCGCAATAACTCATATAAAGTGGATGGCCTGGATGGAAATCTAGCTGCCACAAAAGCCATTCAAGAACATGTACTGAACTTTCTGACTTTTATACCTTTAGCAACCTGATCACATTTCAGATAAATGCTTACCATATTCTTTTAGGTCATCAAAAACATCAAAACCAGTTGCTGTGGAATTGCTTCACGTTTGGGTATGTCGTACATTGGGGCTTACAGTCTAGAAGATGCAAAACCCCAAGACATGGGCATGTCAGTTACGGATCCCACCAGACCAAACCAGCAAAACTCCCGAACCTTGCGCTTAAACAATACGCCTGACTCTGGTTATGATGTAAGTATTGCTTTCCAAACTACAAAATCTTTACTAAATTGAGTCAAGGGAACTCATAGCACGAACCTTGAGTTCTTCGATTGGGTTGTTGAGGTAAGTGGAGCCTTGACTGTGTTGAATGTGCAGCTAGATGACTATTAATGTAATTAGGTCTCGGATATCATATGGGGTAAACCAATTATAACTGATCTTAAGCCCTTAAAAGTGCAAAACATCTCTGCCTTACTATCTTGAATACCTGCTTACTCAGATTCCATAGCTTGACACGACCGAATACCCGGCCCCAAACCACTCCGTAAGTCTCACCCAGAGGCTCGGAAAAGAATTGCAAACTAATATTTCTTAGCATTACTGTCACAGTAGGCACAAGTAGCACTGTGACAAGTACTGTCACAGATAGTCAAAGTTGGGGTGTGAACGCTGGAGTCGAAGGTATGTTAAGTTTCTGTCTTTGCAAAAGACTCGACTTATACACCTCGGATATCGAAGACGGTGTCACGATCATTTTGGTAGTGTTCTGCTTCAAGTAAAGCTATTGCAAGTTTCTCAACAGATATTAGACTTCCTAGTGTTGAGGAGTGATTGATATTTCATGCTCGAAACATAGATAGCTGGGTTGGTCGGAGAATAGCGAGTTGAAAATTGACAGTACCACCAAGTTCATGGTGATTAATTGCTAACATTATAAATCAGTCGGTTACAAATGGGGAGTCAAAGACAGCTGGGAAGCCAACTTGAAGGCAACATTCAATGGAAACTTTTCCACGATAAAGTCTCGTTCTGAGTCCACCACTTACACCTCCACGACGTCTGCACAGCTTACACTCCCTGCTAATCGCGTAAACTGTGTCAATCAGATGGTTTTTGATCAAAGAACTTCGTTACCATATACTGCCAAAGTCAAGGTTGTCCCGAGATTGAGATTTCAAAACGGGTTTGCTATATGGGGTAAGTGATCTTTGCAATGTCAATTTGATTATTTATGCTAACTCTCATCTACTATCAAGGTGGCGGGGGAAGCTACGCCTCAAACCCCAACACAGCTGCACGGAAGCCTGCCTTCAAACAATCAGACAGAGTTTGTGAGTATCAAAAGTTTTTCTTTACATGCTTCCTAATTTCAAAATTCAACATCCATGCTTTGGTTCAAGTATCCTTGCACTCAAAAAAAACAAAAGGAATCATTCGTAAACACTCTCGTTGTAACCAAGCGCTAATTGCTCGATGTTGAAGATTGTTCGGATTACCAGAGCACTTTTGAATTTAGACGAACTGATGAGATCCGGGATGATGCTCTAGCTAACGCGGATCCTTGGGAGGTATGTGATTCCATGCCCTTCGTCATATTTTTGCTAATTTGTATGGTCAAAAGTGGACACTAGCGATGCAACGCACTGCACTCGGATACTACCTTGATGAGCTTACCGAAGCATCAAAGTATGAAGTCTACGTCAAAGGCAAATGGGAAGGCATTACTGGCAAGTATGCAGTCACGACTGTAACGCCTAAGAATACTCTGACCACATTACTCCCTCCTTCTTAAAGCCTTACAATGAGGATCAGTAAACACGCAAAGGTTGTTGGTCGGTCAGAATGCCATTGGCAGAGTTGTAAGGAAGCAATTGGTGGGCTCGTATTCAAGGACGAAAGAGAAAAATTCACCAGAGGCGTGGAAGCCAATCACATTCTTTTGTAATTGGAGCTATCTAGTTCTTATTTCTTGTTTTCTTGTTTCTTGCTTTTATGATTTCTTTTTTATGATCTGGACTCGCCAAATTAATGCCGAAATGATTGCTATGGAATTCTACTTCTTTTCTACTTCATTTCGAAACTTGTTATCTGTATTTTCTTACTCAAATTGTCAAAATACCTACTAGTTAGTATTTTCCAATGTCTGAGCACAGACCCACTCAAGTGCAAGTGAATTAGACTATCGTGATTCTATTCATACTCTATCCACAATCTTCCAACATATGCTCTGATTGCTCATTCCTATATATTTCACAGGTAATCCGATGAACCAGCAACAACCTCCAGCCCCTCCTCTTCAAGCTACCGCACTCCCTCAACATCACGCCCCATTCTCGCATCCCCCATCTTATCCTCCCCCAAAATTCCCTTCATGATCTCTACCGCTCTTTCCCCCTCCCCAATCTCATCATATCCCCAAATCGTCTCCGCTATCCCCCTTACTTTCTCTCCTATAAGCGAAAGATCATCAGATATAACCGGATCTTCCATATCAAGCATGCGGCCATAATAGTTAGCAGTAGATACGGCGGTGGTAGCACGCGGTTGTCGAATTTGTGTGTAGGCTGTGAAGATAGCGTGGAGATTTGTGCTGAGTGTGGAAGAGTGAGTGGTGGGGAGGTGTGAGAGGAGTTTCGTGAGGATGTATACGTCTTCGACTGGAAGGGGGTGGGGGTTAGTGTTTTTTGGTGTGAAGTAGGATGGATAATAATAGTGAAGGGTTTTGGGAAGGATTCAACATGGAGGATATACTGAGTTGGAGGGTGGGAGGGAGAGCAGTAGCTGGGAGAAGCAAAAGAAACTTACTACCAAGCCCAGCGCCTTGTCCGAAATGCGGAGCAGTGGTGTGCGCAGCATCGCCGATGAGAAGGATGGGTAGAGTGGGATGGTGGAAGGTCGGAGCGGGGGGGTGATAGAATGTCGCCCAGTAGGAGGGAGATTTGATGAGCTGTTAACGAAGTGTTAGTTTTTTTTTTGAAACAGAAAATACATTTGAGGGGTAAAGGGAAATGAATTTGAGAAAGTGAGGTTCTGTAAAGTAGGAAAAAATATCGAGTTTGAGATGTATAAGATATAGTAGATGTGGAGAAAATTTATCCCACCCAGAGATACAAAAAGGGATCGAGGTCGTTTGAAGAATGGAATGTAGCCGAAAAAGTACAAGGGCTGTGGATAAGACCCACAGACCCAACATCGCAAGAAAAACAGACACAAAAAAGGGCATCGCGAGCAAACAAATAAACAAATCCAGCCACCATCCACTTACCCTCATGATCCCCTCCACATCACCCCCCCACCTACCGTCCAAATAATCCTTCTCCAACTCCACCCCCACATTCTCCCTCACCCAACCCCCCTCCCAAGCCCCCTCCCCCCGATTCGCAAACGCAACAATATTCATACTCTTCCCTCCCTCCACCGGAAACGAAACCACATGTCCCCCATGTCCCAAATAAAACATCCTCTGACCCGCTTTCTCTCCTATCCTCGCTTTAGCCTCTTCCATCGGTACTAATCCTCTATATGCTATTTTCCCCGTAAAACGCGCTTTGAGCGCTTCGGGATTGCAAATCGGTGCGAGCACTATATCCCGACAGAGTGATTTGACGCCGTCGGCGCCGATTACGAGGTCGGCGGTTGAAGTTGTGCCGTCTTGGAATTGGAGGGTTACTTTGCAATTTGGATGATTCGAATCAGAAGCAGATGATACAATCCCCGTCAAACGTTTCCCAAACCGAACATCGCACGAAGAAGGAAGAAGTTTGATTAAAATATCCATCAAAGATCTTCGATGCGCGGTACTTTGACCTTCTCTCCCCTCTTTCATGCGTACCTGTGCGATTCGTTTCCCTTCCCATTTCCCATCGACTATTCCTTGTGAATTCCCGACTTTGTCGCCGACGACAAAATCCCACCATACGTCGTCGTCGCCCCAATTCGCAATCGCTTTGTAGTTTTCCCAGAATTCGGGGTGGAGGAGTTTCATGATTCGGTGCCCGCTAGCGCCAAATCCAATGCCGGCGCCGATTTCGGAATAGTGCTGGTGCGATTCGTAGATGGTGTAGTGGAGGTGAGAACGCTGGTGGAGTGGAAGAGCGGAGATGGAGAGAGCGAGGGTGAGGCCTGTGAGGCCGGCGCCGATTATGGCTATGTGGAGAGGCTCGCATGGGAAGGGGGCCGGCCGAGCTGTGGTAGAGCTCGCCATGATCGTCGGAATAGATATTGCAGCTGGAGATGGGGCTTTGATTTGTGATACGAACAATGGAAAAAACAGGAGAGAAAATGAGATGAGGGATTCGAAACGTTCAGTAGCCGGAGCTGAAGCACGCTGATAAGGTAGTGAGTTAAGATGGCAAGCTGCTAGAACGAGATAGGTAAACTAGACACTGACTATTGGATGTGAACCGTATCCAAGTACGTTGAGATACCCGCGAATTGGGCAACTCAGACAATTATTGAGAATAAATCATCGTATCTGAAAGAGATGGTAGCTCAGTAGTATTATATAGCATCAGACACAAAGATACACCAAAAACCCACTGCAACACAGATTCGTAGAAATAGAACGCTACAATATATCTTTCAAATCTCTGCGATGGTAATGAAGAAAGAACGAATCAGATCTGGAAACAGTTCCGATGGTTACATGGCGTTGAGTATGTCGAGTAACCTCGGAAGTAAATATGAAACCGTAAATCTCAACAGTTAAGCAACTTCGGAAGTAAGGTGGAACCTATGTGCGACGTTGGAGAATGGATGTATCGAGATTAAAAGATTATCTGACTAATGTAAATCATCCTTCAGACCGCCCGGTGCTACCGGAAGGTGAAAAAAATGATGCTTCGAGGCGCTCCCACTATTAAGCGAACAATTCCTTCCATGAATGTTTGCGAGTCGTGAATTTCCTCAAAAATTTCGACTCTACAAAACCCTTCCGCCATGGAACTTTCAGAATATCGCCTGCTACTTCAGTAGCTTTAATTACCTTATACAAACTAAGCAATTAATAAGTATACCTGAAGGAAGGGTGCATATCCCCGAGCGTGTCGGCATCTTCCCTCTCTAACAGATAATCCCTTTTGCCAGCTGCTCTAGCCCTATTTTCCATCCACAAAACGAATGCATATAAGATTAAGAGAACCGCAGCACAACAAGTCATCCACACAATAGTTGTATATCCCAAGACGAAAGATGGTGCCTTAGTACTTGCAAAGCAAAGAGTTGAAGCTATACCCCCCAAATTCCCAATGCTGACCTGAATCGCTATCGCAATTCCCGTCTTGTACGTTCCAGCAACGTTGTTTGGTAGAATCGTCCATATTATTGGTACAGCGATGTAGATTCCACAAGCCAGGAGATAGACCGCTCCATATCTGGTATGCGCACTGACATTCTCTTGATTAAGTAAGATTATAGCACCGGCTATGATCATAACGTATCCAAAGAGAGCGAATCCTGTACGATGTTTGAAATAATCTGATAAGAATGAAGCTAGCAATGAAGATACTGCTGCTGCCACAAAAACCGGAATACAGAGAACCTGTACGTGGCGAGGATCCTGATGAGCAGAAATGCCTGAAACAATAGTTGGTGTAAATATCCCGACGCTAGCAGACGTCATAATTGTAAATGCGAGAAGTATGCCACTAAGATTGATTAGTTTAGAACTGAATAGGAAGCTGGATGGATTGTTTACGCTACATATATCTTCCAGTCTTTTAAAACCCCAATGAGTCTGTGTATATCTAATTTCTCGCCCTTCGGTTCAACAATCCCTCCTTGCTTGATTGCATCAGCGAGGAAAGTCTTTTCATCATCGGACATCCATTCTGCCTGATGCGGCCACTTTGGCATGAATGGATAGGCAACAACTGCCACTGCAACAGTAATGCACCCTTCAATGATGAAGATCCATCTCCAGCCATTATACCCAGTGGAAGTATTGATACCAGCAATAGCAAATGCAAGTAGTCCAGCAAATGCGGTTCCAAGAGCATTGCCAACCATCAACATACTCAATCTCCATAGAATTTCATACCGAGGATAATATTGACTCAGGATAAAGACACTTCCTATAATTGTATTAGTGTTTTCGCTAGACCGGTAGCTGTCGAAAATACCTGGTATGAGTCCTGTTTCGAATAATCCTACAAAGAAACGCATGGCATAGAACCCAGCAAGATTTGTGACAAGTCCCTCTCCAATAGCCACTATTCCTATACGATGTTAGTTATGCTGAGGTATGATAGGGAAGAGACTGCAACCTAGAAGGAAAGTTTCGCCAGTAATAACGATTTGTGGTGTGCTAGCTTTTAGTAATGCATTGCACGGAATATCGAAGACAATAAAACAAATGACAACGATGAGGAGAGCCATGTTGAAATTGTTCCCTTGCATATGGAGATCCTCCTGAATGCCGAAGATGTTGGCGCTTCCAATGTTGCCTCGATCAACGACGGCGACTATCCAAAGAGTAAACAAAGCTGGCAAAACATGAAGATCGATTTTCCAGATCAATTTACGATATTCTTCTGGAGACAGCGGTATGGGAATGGGTGGCGTTGGGGAGGATAATTCACAAACTCCTTGGTTCACATTTTCCCCATTTGCTAGTTCGGATTCCTTCTCCATTGCTATATGTTTTCGGTATTCCGTGAAAGATGGCGGATGCCTGTTGAGAACCAAGATTGAAACGAAGGACAAAAACAAGAAGGGTAGAGCAAGTGCTGAGTGGATTTGACAGGATAAATGGACTGGTAATCGTAGGGTTGGAAGTAATAGGTACTTGAACGGAGGGGCTTTGTCAATTCTCGGTGAAACAAGATGTGACCTGCTTGCTATCAATGATATTGAGTGGATAGAGGTCTTATTGAGAGCAATGTCGCGGATGATTCAAAAATTCAAGCCATTTTAAGCTTTACTTGAAGCTGTCAAAATTCCACGCGAAAGTTTTGTGTGAATTGAAAATTGAAAGTAGAAATTCTTTTAAAGTACTTAACATTCTGCATCCCAAATACCGGTATGGTTCGCGATCCTATTTTGAGTATAGCCAAATATATCAACTTCATTCGATGGCATACCTTCACTGGAAGGAATCTCTCAATATATGTGCATATCATAATACCAGCGTCACTGAAACTTATCGAAAGATATACTTCTATTCGAAAATGAGTGATTGTGTAAAGAGTCTCATCACCCATTACAGATGCGAGATGGTGATCAAGGGATAGGTGATTCTTGGAACAGAAAGTACCACAGCATATCAGCGGGAGATGCGGCTGCTGTTTCACCGAACGTTGGAATCTGAATTGTTCTCTCCCTCGCACAGAATGGTATTCAACCATGTTTATAGTTTGTGTGGAACTTAAGAAAGTTTGAGCTTGGATGAAAGTTGTTGGATACGATACTGGAATAGATGAGCGAGGTGGTTGTCTAATGAAAGCTTCGCTCTAACATCGTGCCATATCAAACTTCCGAAGCTGTTGCTGTATGTCCAAGGATTGTTTAAGAAATAGATCGGATCGTCACCTTAGTACATCTTTCGTACAATTTACTTTGCCAACATGTGAAACATTACCTACCTTCGAACTACCGATTAATGGCTTTGACGTCAATCTATCTTTCGCGGATGCTTTTTGTGGGTGGTGGATAGTGTTTTTGTAGGGGTGAGATTAGCTTTCAAACACGGCTTGTTTTCTTACTAAGTAGTATCCTAGGTGTGTGATTAGTTAGCGAGTGTTTGTTATAGGAAAGCTCCTAGATCTTGGCGACGACAACACGCATTCATCCGCGAATTCGGTTATAGAACACGATAACTCTTGTATCGAACAGTCCGATGTGCTGATACAAACCCATCCGATTCCTGATGTGTAACACATTTTCTTTCTTTCCTTACAGGATCGCTGATGATATAGACCTCATACTAGACAACGAGTCAAGTCATGCATGTCTATTGCTGGAATTATCGTGATCACCCAATGAATCTTATCATGCGGGATATTTATGATCACCAATTCTCTCTCTCTCGTCTTTTTCTAATGAAAAATATCAAATTACTACCTTCAAGTTACCGAAGAGAGTTTCAAAGATATGTCCCCACGGATTATCGGTACATAATCATCATTCTGGTAAATCCAACCATTCGTCAAACACCAATGTTCACGCTTCGAGTTTTCACAAGTACCTAAAAGCAAGATTTCATTCCTCTGTTTTACTCTTGGAAAAAAGTCACAATGGTCTCAAGAACAAAATGTACAACTTCAAGAATTGTAATGAGATACAATTCAGGGGAGTTTAAGGGTCGTGAAGTATCATCCCGTGCCTGCTCGTCAATATCTAGCATGAGGACTTTCTTCTTGAAAGTCTTGTTCGTAATGCTTTCTCAGAAGCTTATTTATACTTCTCCCCCCTTTCATTTTCTGCAACATGATCTATCAATCTCCCCAATTTTCAACAAGTCCCAAATGCCAGGTAATAAGATATTCAAATCATCCAAGTGTCGTCTATCTTAACTAGCTACCACAATACCACTGTTGTTTATCACCACCATTGCTGTCGAATTCCGTCTTGCACATCAACATCAATAGCAAAGAAGCAAGTAGATATATGGATTTTGATTGCTCTTGTGAGCATTTCACATACAGTTATCGAGATATGCAAATTCCGGTGATTGGCACTACATACACAGGTCTCCGAGATCTCTCAAAAAGTTGTGGATTTTATTGATTAGTACATACGTCAACCAGAAGCATTGAACGACTTTGTAATAATCGATGACTCAAATGAAATTTTTGTTGGGGGCTTGATCATGACGCCGTTGCCCTCGATGTTGTAAAAGCTCGGGGTATCACCATGGCGGGAAATATCTTCAGAATGAAAGGAATACTGTTCTGAGAATTATTCAGTATGACAATAATACTCTTTACAGTACCGCTATATCTTCCAAACACCCACTCAGTCTATCTATCAAACCACCATCCCCATATCTAAAACCCTCTTATGTTCTCCTTTCCCGGCTTCCTCCCAGCATTAACCATCAAACATCAACCTCATTCATTATATCATCATTACATCTATATATACACTACTTTCCAATTTCCATCTCTACTTATTCAAAATCCCAGGGTCCCACCATCTCTCTCCTCACAACAATCACCCCCAAAATCCACAGTATCTCACACATACCCACGAATCTATACACATCCCTCTATCGCCTTACAATCAATATAGTAATCTCAACCCCCTTCTACCGTCCAACAACACACCAATCAAACTAGCACACATCCCCAAACATCCCCCATTCCCAAACTTAGTACATACTCTCGATCTCTTGTACTTCATCCCCTTCTCATTCATTAACCACGCAAATCATGAGTACCGCATGCAATCTAGACTATCGACTCAATCCTTTGAATCACTACTCAGAATTATAATACTCATCTTCTACCCCCCCTCTCATAAAGTCAACTCACCGATAGTCACCTCATCTCTTTATCTTTAATCAAGCCTTCGACTTTCCTATCTTGACTTCTTTCTAACTATTAACTATTAACTATTAACTATTAACTATTAACTATTAACTTATTTATCACATCATTACTTTATTTATATATTCATCTCTATTTATTCTTACTATCTTCACAATCATCATCATCATTCTCTATTTTCCATACCTAATTACCTACTTATTCGTAGGGTTGGGCATCGAGTAGGATTTACTCGAGTATACTCAAGCATTTTTTCCGAGTATTTTAATGAATATTCAATCTCTAATATGTTTTTAAATCAGATAAATACTCGAGAAATAGTATCGGATACAAACATATCTAAAATAAATATTATATGAATCTATCAAATTATTAGATTCTTTAATTAATAAGATAGAAATTCATTCCTCTATTGTAATTTACAAATTCTAATCTAAATAATCGATTACTAATTTATACTTTCAATTATAATTCTTTTAAAAGATTTAAATAAAAATAAGTAATATTCATAAATATATTATATATTTAACTTATAACTTTCTTATACTTTAATATGTTAGATTTATCTCTCAACTATATAAAGACCTTCGATTCCCCTTCATTTCTTTCTTTCTTTTATTCTCTTTTATTCTCTTTTCTTTTTTCAAATTATAAATAACTATTGATATAGAAAGCGTATCTAAAAGCTATAATAAAATCTTTTCTCTTAAAAAAGTAATAAGTAGATCATCTGTAGCACGCTACCCGGTAACGTCGCTTACCTAAGCAAGTGTGTATATAATAGTGTAGTCTTGATAAGAAGAATAGAATAGCTTTATTATAATCATTAAGATGCTCGTTATATTTAGTAGCAAGTCCTAGTTCAATTTAATCTTTTTATTCAAAGTATTTCTTTAAATTAAATATAATCGAAAAAGATCTTAAAAATTATTAACCGTTAGGGTATTATTAGGGACTTTAAATTTCATATTCTTTAGTAATTTAATATTAATTGATAAAGATGGAGATTATTATCCAAGCTTATTAATTATTTGCTTTTTTATAGACAAAATATTAATTTAATAAAATAATCTTTAAGAAACTATAATCTATTATTAAGAATATTTATAAAAATAATATAATAGCGTTAAAATAGATACTAAGTTTATATAAGATAAAGACATTATAGTATTATATTTGTTCCGTTTATATTACTTCTAAAAGCTTTCTGTTCAATTAGATAATCAACAAAACAACTCTAAAACAAATAATAAAAACTTTCGAAAAGAAAATAGTATATTATATTCTTCTATTTTTTATTATAATAATAATCTTAGAATTAATTTAAAGTTTAAAAGATAAAAGTAAAGGTTAAATAAATAAAAAATTGTAATAAAAAAAAGAAAGAAGTTTAAAATATAATCTTGATATTTATTTGAATAATTAAGAATCTAAATCTTTAAAGGATTCCCTACAAAGTTCATTCTTATTTTATATAGCCCCAATAATAATTATATCTATTATTGAATTAGTAAATCTATTAGAGCTAATATAAGATATTATATTATACTTTTAGGTATTATATATACTCTTATTATTGAAATAATATTTACAAAGATAGTTATATAGATAAAACGCTTGAGGATAAATAAGCCGACTCTATTTTAATAATTCAATAATATTTCAGTTGTTATTAAATATATCAAGAATAAATAATCTTCAATTTATAGATTTTGATTATAATTATTAGGCAGAAGATAATAATACATTTAAAGTAATGATAATGTCACTGCTTTTTAATAAATATGAGAAATATAATATAGAAGAACTATTTGAATAAAGAAAAAGTAATATTCTTAATAATAGAGGATTAAATATTTATAATCAATTAAAAACTATTTTATTATAGAATAGTATAGCAGGTTAATCTAAGAATATACCTTTCACATTAATGTAGCTGGAGTAGATATCAGTAGTAATTGTATATCAGATATACTTACATGTATTATTAATAATGTTACCAGACTGTTACAACGGATTAGTAACAGGCTGTAGAATCACTGACTTATAGGCTATAATGGTATTATAGGCCTCAGTGATTCAGCTGCAGTATACCGGGGGACACTAGGCACCCAAGGAAAGCCTCAGGCATGTATATAGTATTAG